ATAACTATACAGAGTCTATAGGTGTGAGTGCATGTATGTATGCATGCGAGTACATCTGTGCATGTACTTATTGTTTATATTGAAGTTACCTGTAGTAATAAATTTATGTTATCCTGATGATTTGGGGGCTTGAGAAGAAAAGAGAGGTGTGTCTTCTACACTCAGGTTGATTTAAATGGAATAACTTACAGGCATATTTTAACCAGAAGGAAAATAACAAAGAAAATAAATTTTGTATAAAATTAGTCTTAGTCCATTAGGAACAGTGCAGGGTAATACTATGCATGCATATTTAAATATATTTAGTGCTTGGTTAAGTAATACATACCTAGGGACAGATTCTGATCTAATTAGCATTTGATTTCCATCATTGTCACTCAACTATAAAGAAGTTACCTTTAACCCAACGTGGTGCAGATATCTAGATTTTTCTTCGTGTTTACCTGTGCACATATATATGTGTGTATGTGTGTGCATGAGCTGCCTATTCAATGTATAAACAAAATCTACATTAAATGTGCAAATAAACATCAAAAAGTTGGGAAATTTTGAAGCTAAAATTATGTACACAACTTCAACTTGTGCTAAAGAATTTATAAAAGCAGGTTCGTGTTCTATTTCTTAAGCCATTATTCAGTAATATAATATCACGCAGTATTTTTCTTACAACAAGAAATACATGTATGTGCAGTCCTTTTAAAAGCTCCTTCATTCTTCTTATATCCTCTCGCAGCTTTTACTGGCACAATGTTCCAGAATATCTATATTGAGTTTGTGCTAGGGTTTTTTACACACTCCATGCTTGCAGCTGCCAAGAAAATCAGAGTTCAGTTAGTAAGACAGAGACAGAATGACCCGCATTTTCAAAAGTAGCAAGTGATTTTGAACTGCATAAATGAAAGTAATAGGCAAGAGTGTGCTGTCCAGAATCTGGCCTCCAGACTTTCATATGCTAAACAGCTTTCTCACTAAGATCTTCAGGTTAATGTATTCCTCAGGGCTTTTTGATTTTATTTTTTCAGATTACCTATGAGAAATAATTTATTGTGGCCTCAATTCAGAGGGAATCAGATGAAGATAGATATTAATATTTCAGAAATTATATGTATGGCTTGCCTGCATTAGACAAAAATTGTCTTAGTCACTGTTCAGTTTCTGCACAATATCAGACTTCTGTACTCAGAACTTCCTCATGCTGCACAAATCAATTCATTTCTTGAGATAGTCTAAGCAAAACTTAGCATTATGAGATCTTGTATATATCTAGTGATGTGGTGCTGGTTTGGACTAACCTCGGTAGTGTAAAAGCACAGTAGTGCAGGGTCCTCCTCACCCATATTTCTCAGTGCAGTAGTGACTGCTGACTTTGCCTATTATTTGCTGCTCCCATGAGCAGAAGGGAACCCAGTTTGCCATGTTATTCACCTGTTCAAATAGCAGCATGAAACTCATTATTTGCTGTTTTCTCCATGATCTAGCTCTTCAGAAGTGGTCATCCTTATTTTCTTTCACTCCTTAATATGGTTCAGTAGCAGCTAGCCTGCTCTGATGTTCAGGCACTGCTAGTAATTTTTGGCCAAGAGAAAATCTCAAGTCACTGTATGTTGTTTTTTGAAACACTTTGTTTTCTTACAAGGTGTTACGGCCACTGGCTGGTATGAATGTGAGTTAGATTACCAAATCTTTATAGCTGAGAATTTATCACATGCCAGTACAACAAGCTATAGGATATTATCTGCAAGTCTTATTCAGGATAGAAGTGAGGCAGCTCTGATACGTTATGACCAGGACTGAATCAACAGAATTCCCCATTCTACATAGTTGGAGATGCTGCTTAGTAGCTCAGAGGCACATTATGGCAAGAGATGACATAACCTGATGAGCCACAGAAACCTTCCAGGATATCATGAACTCCTTGGAGACTGCCAGGGTGTTGGAAATAGTCAGTAAACTCTACTGAAGGCAGAAGAATTGAGAGACAGGACATGCAGTGTAACAGATACATAGCTTTCTGCAGAAGTATGTCCCTATGGTATCAGTTGTTAGTTCTGTTAGTTCTGTGGGAATTGTTTTTGATTAACGTGGTATGCTGGTTTTAGTAAAACGGTAGACACTACAGAGGAACAAATCTCTGTTTTGCTATCTGCTTTTCCATGCTCCTTTTCTTCTCCCTCTTCTCTCACATGTCTTGTCCACAGCAGCTAGGCTCTCCTGAGCCCATGCATTGTGGTATCCTCACCATTCTGGTTTCTACAATTCCTCAGTAGCACAAACCCTTTCATCTGCATGGCTAGAGCAGTCCATTTGTGCACAGTGACTGTCTGAGCCAAGACTTGGGGCCATGTTCATATAAACATATGTCATATAAACAGAGGAAGAAAATAATAAAAGCAATACAGGAATGGTGACTGGAAAAGCCTGAGAATATGATTCTTCTGTTGCTAGAAATTATATAGAAGTCATCGTGGTTAAAGAATTTATTTTGCCTTTTATCACCTAGGCAATATGCTAGATTGAAGTGAGTAACTATTCAGCTGTGCTTTACCTACCTGAAGTCATATTACAATTGGTCTTTATGAGTAGTGTAAGGATATTTTGATAATAAAGTGATGTGCAGTTAATACCAGTCAGGAAGTCTGGAGAAATAACTGCATTAATTCCCACATCAGCTCATACAATATGTATTTTAAAGGATCTAATGAAGATCTCAGTTAATCCTAGCCTTTATTTGCACAGTACTTAATTAATTTAATCAGCCATTCCTTTAGCCAGAATAGCTAATCAGTACTCATGGATTTACAAATTTGTTTTGATAATGAGAACTGATGTTCCAAATCAGGCATTTTCATGGATGAAACTATTTATTTACAGTGAATATATACAACATCTTATTTTTCTGAACATGTTAGGAACAAATGGCAGGCAGTTTCCATGCTTACAGTTCTCAAGCCAACTATTCCATTGTTTACTGTGGACATATAGAACTTTATGTTTCTATTTCTTTTCAGTGTTCACAATTATGTCTGTTACTAAGGCTTCTTGACTCTTACATCCTAGCAATTTAAATAGCATAAATTAAGACTGCTGAGAAAGTAAGTCCAGTGTAACAGGCAAGAGAGGATGGTTAATTTTAGGGCAGAACAGCTTTCCAATCCACGTTGCAGCATATCTATGTGAATGCTTGTGGTAGTGCTAAGTAAAGGTATCCCCCCTTATCCCGCATGCATGTGGGAATGAATGACAGAGGGTGGAAAAAATCATAGTAGGGCTTATGCTGGCATACAATGCCTATCGAACTGTATTGACACAGAATGTTTTTACAATGTGACTGTAGACAAATTAGCCATTCACCGTCCTCAGTAATGGGAGATCCATCTTCCCTGTTGCTGCTTCTGGATGTGTGCTCCTGCCACTTCCTTGAGCCTTCTTTGGCACTTGCTTAATTACTTGGCAAACTGATACCACTCACTAAAATGACAGGAAATTAAAGTGGGAAAACAAAGGTGAATATTCTTCTATTAGCTTAGTGTTTTCAATCAGTTTACCTTGTGGTCAATTGCTCAGATGGGAGCAGAACAAGGAGGAGTGGGAAGAGAGAGAGAAGAAAAGAGATATTCCCCTCTTTTGGCAGTGGTGAGCACTTAATTCAGCTCAGTTGCATTGCAACTCAGCAGTTGCATTCAGCTCAGTTCATATTCAGTATTGAGTCTTCTTGAACTGATTTAAGCAACCCTCCCACAGCTGCCCTCTTTTGGCTACTTATTCCCGTCCCCATGTTGCCCTGTGCTGTGTCAAAATTACTGGAGTGGCAGACCAGTGTGGTGAACAAACATGTCTAAAAGTTAAAACGGCTTTTTTTTTCATTACATTGGCAAATGGGCACAGAGTGGCAATAAGGGGTCAGTGAAGGACAGACATGGGGGCTCACTGACCTGGAACTGTCACCAAAGGTATGATTGTGTAATTACTACCCCTCCCCCCCAGTTTACCAAGTAGTCTCATAGCACCGGTTTGCAAACATTGTTGCCTGTAGCTTTTGCTGAAGGTTTGCAGTGTGTCCCATTGTCTAAGGGTAGCAGCTTCTGCCATTTCTAGTTACTATGATTGTTGTTGTGCATTTAGCTTGCCCAAGGGGCTTTGGATTCAGGATCAAAGAAAGGCTGACTGCCATCATTGCTGCAGTCCACTTGTTACTGTGTAATATCTGAATAGAGTTAATAAAGCATCAAGCTTTGTCCTTAAGGCCTTTGTATCTGGATTGATTCATATTAATTTCCTTCTGCTACAACACAAGATTTCCCATTTCTCCAAATCTGTTTAGTGGAAACCCTGTTTCCTATCTCTGAGCTCCCTTCAGGGGAACAAGTACCTTTCAAAAACTCATTTGCAGAGATCTTCACTGCCCATTGTTACTTCTCTTCACTCCTTTGTTTTGAGAAGCTTTGTTTCAGAAATTTTAAATTGCGTTCTTATCACTGTATCAAAGGTAAGGTGTCTTAAAGATGTCTTTGGAATTTGAAGCTGAACTGGAACATATCACTATTACCTTGGTCCTTGACATTCTGAAAGAAGAATGGCCTAGTACTATGATTGTTACCTATTATATTTTATTTTTCTATTACATTCCTAACTACACCAGACTGTTTTTTTAAAGTAAGATGTCAAGTCTCATTGATTTGCTTCACAATAGAGGATCTAATGAAAAAACATGTGCCCAAGAGAAAAAGGAAAATTCCAGAATCTGTGTAAACAACAAAAATAAAGATTCAGGCCAAGGAGTTTCAACTGAAGAAGAAGAAAATCAGAATAATAGCTGAAAGATTAGATAGGCCCAGGCAAGGAGAGCAGGCTGTTGAAGCAAATGTATTTTTGAAAGTAAACAATAAAGAGAAATGAAGATCCAAGAATTTTAGAGAGTAGATATCAGTGTGTGCATAATAATAATAATAATAATATTAATAATAATCATCATCATCATCATCATAAACTAAGCTGACAATTTACCTGTGATTGCACCAACTGTGCAATGAAAATTCTAAATTGAAGTAATACAGAATATATTGTTCAGCTTCCTGATTCTCCTGACCTAGATAGCACTGGTCTTGACACAACATAGCATAGCTGATATGTAAACGTATCTGTCTGAGAATGAAAGAAGCTAGGACTGTTCCCCTTAGCATTGTACTTATGCATTTGTGTGCGAGTGTGCATACGCGTTGTATCCAGTGTAGGTTTCCTTAGTTTGCTTGCTTTCAGAGTGTATCTGAGAAGCTTGCATTGATTTTATTGTTGTATCATTACTCTTTCGGCTTGACTCACTTTACAGCCACACCATGAAAACAGGTGAATTTGTTAACGTATTAAGAATCAAAATAAATAAAAAAATGAAATAGACTTTTTGCAATATTTTAAAGTGTGGATCTATTCCTCTTTTCCCCTTTACCCTACCTCTCTTGTACAACTGGTAAAAGCATAAATTTACTCCTCATTTTTAACCTTGAGAACAAAAATCTGTTAATTGTCTTATGTACCATCAATTTCCATAAACCCTATTAGTACTTATAAGAATGTCATATTGTTACTAACATTTTTCTTGAGGGTAATAGCCTTCTATGTATGGCTGAAAATAAAGTAAGTACTTACAAGATCAAGGTCCCATTGCCTATAAAACATTCTAGGTGAAATTGTTTGTGAAGCTGAAGGTGTTAAACTTCTGGTAATGTTTATAAGTAACAGTGGCTAACTGTACATGCCTTGCCTTTCTGTCAGCCATCACCATTCACCATGTTGATTCTCACAATTTAGAAATAATAGTCCAGATCCTCTGTTGATGTAAATCAGTGCAGCACCACTAAGCCCATGCCTATTACTTAAATCTATCATCAGCAAAAATAGTAGGCTTTGTGTAGCAGTGGTACATCTTCTGAAAGTCTTATATGTTCTCAAGAGAATAAAAAAGCCCACGTAATATCAACTTTTACTGAAATACAAATTTCTACAGGGTTTTTGCATAGACAGACATTTACAGGCACAAGCATTTCCTTCATATGAAAAGAAGAGATAGGAAGTGAACATGGAAAAAATAAAAGTTAATCTTTGAAAGGATCTTCATGGAAAAATAAATAGAATTATGGGCCAGATACTCCATACCTCTTGTCTGCTTTAAGCTTCCCCTCTAATATAGCACAGCTGAAATTCTGTATCAAGTATGTGTTTGGGAGGGGCTGCAGCTGTGTTTCAATCCTAGCACAATACAAAGTCACTGGTATACACTGGTGAATCTAGCTCTATCTGAGTGAGGCTGTATACATGACAAATGTACTTACACAATCAGAAGGTTTTGTAGGTGTATGGCTGCAAATGCTAAGGGATTAGTCTAGCAATAGCTGAAATTACAGCTGGAAAGGTGCATGCTTGCACAGACTGTGGAATTTCAACTACAAGTATGCTTTCATGGACATTAGGGAGAGTTACATATGTTGTGATTCAGGTTAATTATAGACCTGGCAACGTTATGGAGGCCGTATTAGGGAGCCCTAACGGCAAGACTTCTTGTTCCCCTGTGTCTGTGGAGCAATTATACGAGTTGTGGCAAGTGTGGCAACCATGACAGACATTTTATATGCTTGCTTTGTGATCTGTTCATTTGCTGTGAACCAGAAGATAAAAGGCTGAGTCATTCTGGCATCTAAGAAATGTATTAGCTAGATTATTTGTATATAATTGAGTTAATGATTATGAATGTTCGTTCATATGCCAGCTTGTAGGCCTAGAGGTATGTAACTGCTTGTGTAGCACTATAGAAAAACTTTTAAATTCTTGTCAGAATTTGGTACTGGATATCCCATGTCATTCTCTAAGCTTCTAAGTTCCTGTGCTCCTTCTTCGCACTGCCGCTAACTTAAGTAGCAATGACAAAGGAGTGGAAATCTCCATATTCAGCCCATCCACTTTTTCATAAATCTTCCTGTCCTCTTGACAACTTTTATTAATATTCTTCATGTCTATGCAGAAGACAGAGGTTGGCGATACTTGTTTGTAATTGAACATGGTAGGGGATGTAAGAAGATTGACACGCATGCTACTGGAATGCAGCAGCAATGACAAGCTGTGCGGTAAGATTCATAAGGCTGCACTTCTTCCTTTAATAAAGTTTCATATGCTGAACAAGGCCAACTTTGCTAAAAGTGGGCAAAGCCTTTTACTCTCCTCTAACACCATCCCAAGCCCACACAGAATAACTTCACTGAGCTTTCCCTGCTTTGTATCTCAGGGTAGAAACTTTTATGTGAATGCAGCCTTTAGTCATGGAGGGGGGGATTCATCTTACAAAATATTAGTCATCTTAGAGTATTTGTGCCTTGAGTGAGACATAAGATGAGGTTAAGACCTCAAAACATAGATTCTCTGCTGCTTTCCTAAGGACCAATCTTGTGAGATTTTGATTCCATCAGTTTCTGTCTGAGACCTGAAATGGGGTCATGCCTCACACAAGAATAGCACCACCTCCAAACCTGGGGACCTAAGAGAGTTAGTTAACTGCAACATTCTAGTTAATTGCAATGTCTTCAGTCCAAATCAGGTGACTCCACCCTATATCTTTAAAATGCTTCGTATAATTTTAATGGAACAAGCTAAAACTCTAATTGCACTGTTACAAGGACTTGTAAAGGCTCAAAAGCTGCCAGCCTTTCCCATGTCCTTCCTACCTCTCTCCCAGGGACAGCTACATTTCACTAGTGGATGATACTTAGGCATATGGCTACAATTTCTAGCTTCTGTATTTGGGCATCTAAGTAATTGACCTGAGGTGCAAGAGTCCTAGTGGCTTCAGAAGGTTTAGATAATCAGCAATGAAAGTTTTCAGTTGCTATTCCAGGGAGCACAGGGTGGATACGCATACTTTTGGGGTTGAAAATTACTATAGTAAATTATTACTACTCTGTTGTACAGAATCAGTGTGCATCAAGCAATGCTGCACACAGTCATTTTCATAGCAATGTTGCTCATTCCTTGTCTTCCCATTTTCTTTTTCTGCTGAGAGTTGTGCGTGAATATCAGACTGAAGTGATCGTTATCCCAGTTCTCCTTGTGGGTGCTTTTATCATCCTGGTAAGTGTGATCCTTTGGCTCCACTGTCGAGGCATGAGAACAAATCAGGAGGAATCATCACCATCCGGACACCAAGGTAACATCATAGTTTTCAGAACAGAGGAAGGAGTGTTGGTTTCAGTGGCCACAAGTCAATCCCATTTCCCATTGCTTGAGCTGTTAGACAGTAGAATTTCTGAAGAGCCTAAGCGGTGGTATTCATCAGCCCAGTGAGCATTAGGAAAATTGGGAACCCTCTTTTACCCGACTTGCGGTAGAAATAATGGAATCTGTAGTATAAATGGATCTGAGGAATCTAAACCAGTGTACCATATATCCGTAGGATGATTAATATGCTATAGTAAAATCGCTTGAGAGCTTCAAATTCTGTTTATGTTACAGCCTTCATGGGTGCTGCTGCAAGGATAGTTTCACAAGGGTAATTGTGCATTAATCTTTTTGATGTAAATCACATCTAATTAATCCACTTTCTGCACTATCATTAAAGACATTTTGTTTCAAGCGACTGTCTCTCACTTCCTGTGGGGACAACTGGAAACAGACAGAACAGGTACTGGGGAGGAGGAAGGGAAAAGGGCTGTCATTACTGCAAAAACATGCTGCCATGGGGCAGCAAATTCAGATCTGAACTATTTTTGTTTCTGCACAGGAAAAAGCATAATCAGTCTATATTAAGGGAAATAATTGAAAAAAAATATAAAGCCTTTGTGTGAACATCCTGTGCATGTCTCTTTTGTAACGACTTGTAGCTGGTGAGAAATGAAATGGTTGTTGCTTCACCACATGGAAATCAAGTACAGAGGTGTCTTACGCAGCAAGAACATTGTCATAGTTAAATATAGTAGAGGTCTCTGGACTCATTTTATCTTTTCATCAAATAGAATGGGAGATAAAGTCACCTTCACCTTTCAAGGGCTAGGATAAGGAACATACAACATCTCCTCACCTCATCCTGATTCCCAAAACCAGTATGGGGTACAAATTAAAGGGAGTAGATGAATGGGCATTGTCACCTCTATATTTATG